CCTTCATCACCCATGTAGGACTGTATGAATTTAATGTGCTCCCTTTCGGGCTGCAAAATGCACCCGCCACTTTCCAGAAACTTGTAGATATCTCCTAGCGGGATTGGGGGAATCTGCAGTAGCCTACCTTGATGATGTGGCCATCTTTTCTGATTCATGGGCAGAACACCTGGAGCATCTGCAAAAAGTCTTTGAGCCCATAAGGGAGGCAGGACTAACTGTTAAGGCTAAAAAGTGTCAAATAGGCCTAAACAGAGTGACTTACCTTGGACACCAGGTGGGTCAAGGAACTATCAACCCCCTACAGGCCAAAGTGAATGCTATCCAAAAGTGGCCTGTCCCAAAGTCAAAAAAACAGGTCCAATCCTTCTTAGGCTTGGCCGGATATTACAGGCGATTTGTACTGCACTACAGCCAAATTGCCACCCCACTGACAGACCTGACCAAAAAAAACCTAGCCAAATGCAGTGCAGTGGACTAAAGAGTGTCAGAAGGCCTTTAACCAGCTTAAAGCAACACTCATGTCTGACCCTGTGCTAAGGGCCCCAGACTTTGACAAACCTTTCCTAATCACCACAGATGTGTCCGAGCGTGGTGTGGGAGCAGTTTTAATGCAGGAAGGACCAGATCTAGAATTCCATCCTGTCATGTTTCTCAGCAAAAAAAATGTCTGAGAGGGAAAGCCTCTGGTCCATCAGCGAAAAGGAATGTTACGCCATTGTATATGCTCTGAAAAAACTACGCCCATACATTTGGGGACAGTGTTTCCACCTGCAAACCGACCATTCTGCGCTGAAGTGGCTTCATACTGTCAAGGACAATAACAAAAACCTTCTTCGGTGGAGTTTAGCTCTCCAAAATTTTGATTTTGAAATACAACACATTTCAGGAGCTTCTAACAAAGTGGCTGATGCACTCTCCCGTGAAAGTTTTCCAGAATCAACTGGTTAAAATCGTCCTTGAAATGTGGAAAATACTGTTAGTTTTTATATAATCAGTAGTATATCTACAGTAAGTAATAGCAAGGAAATGCGTTAGAGTATCTTTTGTTTTAGCTTGTGAATTTTCCCTGTGTTAAGAGGGAGGTTTATCCCTGTTTTTGTAACTTTAAAGTTTTGCCTAGAGGGAATCCTCTGTGTTCTGAATCTGATTGCCCTGTAAAATTACCTTCCATCCTGATTTTTACAGAGGTGCTTCTTTAATTTTTTTCTTTGTAATAAAGTTTTGTTTTTAAAGAATCTGATTGGGTTTTTAATGTCCTAAAAACCCAAGGGTCTGGTCTGTGCTCACCTTGGTTACCTATTTGGTTGGTGTATTATTCTCAAGCCTCCCCAGGAAAGGGGGTGAAGTGGTTTGGGGGAATATTTTTGGGAAACAGGACCTCCAAGTGGTCCTTTCCCTAAATCTTTGTCTAACTCACTTGGCAGCATACCATCCAAGGACAAGGAAGGATTTGTGCCTTGGGGAAGTTTTTAACCTAAGCTGGTAGAAATAAGATTAGGGGGTCTTCCATGCGGGTCCCCATATCTGTACCCCAGAGTTCAGAGTGGGGAGGGAACCCTGACAGGGTTGTTGTACGGATTTCTTTAACTCTACTCCAGTGGAAATCTTTTTTGTTGTCTGTATTGTTACAGACATAGTTGCTGTCAGGGTATTTTGAAATAAATTACGAAAATAATTGAAACTGGCTGATTATATAGTGTTATGTTGATGAATAAAATATGCAGAATTTTAACATATTGTGTGCAGAATTTTTTAAGTTTTTGGCACAGAATTTTTAATATTTTGGCATAGAATTCCCAGGAGTATACCACCCAGGATAACAAAGCAAGTTACGCTTTGAAATACTGAGAAATATTTAAGCTATGTCTATGCTGCACTTTTGTCATTAAAACTTTTGTTGGTCGGGGTGTGAAAAAACACACCCCTGGCTGACAAAAGTTTTAATGACAAAAAGGGCTGATGTGGACAGCGCTTTGTCAGCGGGAGACACTCTCCCACCGACAAAACTACCGCACCTCATTGGGGGTAATTTTATTTTGCTGGCAGGAGAACTCTCTTCTGCCGGCAAAGAGCGGCTACACTGCATACCTTACAGCAGCACCGCTGTAGTGGCACAGCTGTGCCACTGTAAGATACACAGTGTAAACATAGCCCCAGATGGCACATCACTGACTTCTCTTCTAACAGGAAGATGATCTGCAATGCCCCAGAATTTTGCTATTGCTCAGCAAATGGGCAACTCTGGTGTCAGAAGAAGGGGCAATAGTATCAATATTCTGGGCAGCCTGGAGAATACAGGGTGTCACAGTTCAGGGCAATTGCACATGTATTTCCCCCTCATGGTCCAGCAAGGACCCAGTCTACACTCCCAGCTCCTCAGCCCTCACCTCTCTTGGCTGGAAATCTGACTGGAGATTTTCCAGGCTGCACAGTTCCCTGCCTCCACTGTGATATCCCCAGTAGGACAGATTTCCAAAACAGTCCAGCATCTGCACTTTGACTTCTCCTCAGAGGCCATGAACAGTTGTACTTGCCCACAGTTATAAGTTACCTATAAATTGCCTTTTCTAACCAAGCACATTTATTCTTAAGGTAAAAGCATTACAGAGAAAACATATTAAAAACAATAAATAACTTTCAGTAATGCTAATATGCTTACCAGAGGTCACCACCAACTCCAGCAAGGGCTCTAGTAGGAGTCAGTTCTTCAAACCCCACAAAGGGATTGTTCTGTGGTTATAAGTTCATAATTGCCTGGGCTCAGAACAAGCACACCAATGAATCTGTGGTTCTTTCCCTTTGATAGCTTGGTCCTTTGATCTTGGGACTCCAGGAACAGGTAATCAGCAGACAATTGTCCTCTTCTCAGGGTGTAGATTCAAAAGGCTGCGGTTTTGCATAGCCAGAGGTGGGGTGGGGAAAAGAAATGTATTCACCTCCCACTAAATATTTCCCAGGAAATCCACTTCACACATTGCCTCCAAAAGTCCATTCTGTCTGGCACATTGTTCAATATAGTCCTTTGATCACCTAGGCCCACAATAATACATACATCATTAATTTAATACAATGGACCCCAAAGATATGTAAACTTATTCAATAAAGTCTCTCTTGCCCCTTCCTGTGTTCAGCTGGTACATGCATTGCTCACAGCCCCACCACCTTCCTACTTTCCCATGACTCCCTAAATTTACCACTCTAGGGATACAGAGTGGCAAGGAGGAGGAAGGAACGGGCACAGAGGGGAAGGCACAGACCAGAGTATTTGTGTACGTGAGCTCACAGCAGCAGGAGATACATGTGTGGTCAGAGCAATGGGTGTGATGGAGGGAATGTTGGAAGAGCTGGAGTGGTGTCGGAGCAGTGTGTGAGGTTTATGAGCAGCTGGAAGGAATATGTGGATTGCAGCAGCAAGGGGGAGTGCGGGGGGTGTTTGAAGAATACATTGGGGAGTGGAGCGGAAAGCAGGGGATCAGAGCTGTGCAGTGAGGTATGTGTGGAAGCTTCATCTCTGTCCCAAACCCTCCTACATATTCATGTTCTCTCACTTCCCTTGGGATAGCATGTCCCTTAACTTTGTGTTTCTTGGTTTTCAGAGATTTAAATTGAGCCAGTCTAGTGCGCCATGGCAGCAGCCGGCTACATTCTGGAATGGCACAAGGTGCCAGCCACGGAACAACTTTAACTCTGTGTTAATAAAACTTTCTGGGCATTTAATAGAAGATAAGTTACCTCTCCTAACAGCTAGCAGAGTTTTTCTTTTAGCTCAATTGATGGAGGGTTCTGCAGGAGAACCTTAATACTGGCATTTCCTAACTTTAGAAAAAAGAACAGGCGTACTTGTGGCACCTTAGAGACTAACAAATGTATTAGAGCATAAGCTTTCGTGGGCTACAGCCCACTTCTTCGGGTGCATAGAATGGAACATATATTGAGGAGATATATATACACACATACAGAGAGCATGAACAGGTGGGAGTCGTCTTACCAACTCTGAGAGGCCAATTAAGTAAGAGAAAAAAACGTTTGAAGTGATAATCAAGATAGCCCAGTACAGACAGTTTGATAAGAAGTGTGAGAATACTTACAAGGGGAGATAAATTCAATGTTTGTAATGGCTCAGCCATTCCCAGTCCTTATTCAAGCCTAAGTTGATTGTATCTAGTTTGCATATCAATTCCAACTCAGCAGTCTCTCGTTGGAGTCTGTTTTTGAAGCTTTTCTGTTGTAAAATAGCCACCCGCAGGTCTGTCATTGAATGACCAAACAGGGTAAAGTGTTCTCCCACTGGTTTTTGAGTATTATGATTCCTGATGTCAGATTTGTGTCCATTAATTCTTTTGCGTAGAGACTGTCCGGTTTGGCCAATGTACATGGCAGAGGGGCATTGCTGGCACATGATGGCATATGTCACATTCTATGCATCAGAAGAAGTGGGCTGTAGCCCACGAAAGCTTATGCTCTAATAAATTTGTTAGTCTCTAAGGTGCCACAAGTACTCCTGTTCTTTTTGCGGATACTGACTAACAGGGCTGCTACTCTAAGCTAACTTTAGAGTATTTGACCTTTCAACCATAACAGTCTTTTAATGTAATATTTTATATGGAATATATTGTTTGCAAACTACATGGAAAATGTAATGGATGAAAGATGCCATATAAATGTCGTTCTTCTGGAAAAAGGTGATATCGCTAATGGTTATTCTGAACTCGCTGAGTCCTGTGTGCTAACTTGAAAAAAAAGGCTGACTGCCCGGTGAACTGTCTGCATGTTAGCTGCAACCAACAGCTCCCACAGAGCTGAGCGCCATTACACACGTACACGCAATGGCCAATACACACGGTAGCCATTCACGTGAGTGCACACTCCCTAACCCAAAGGCACCTGCACGCTGCAAGCCCACATGCACGCAGCTCGCGCACACAGCATGCACGTGGCCAGGCACGCACACAGCCCGGATGTTGCACTGAGGCCAGAGCGGCACGCGCACGCATATACGCGCGTGCACACCCCGATTGTGGCCCGGGAGCGCGCAGGCCAAGTGCTGGCGCGGGCAGCAGCCGGGCGTGGGGGAGGGGGCTGATGTGCAGGCGCGCTGGACGGTGTCCGGCGAGAGCTCGGGGGCTGGTGACGCATTAAGCACGCGCCGCGCGGCGGGATGAAGGTGGCGGTGGCCGGTTGCTGCCATGGCGAGCTGGACAAACTTTACGAGACGTTGGAGCTGCTGCAGCGGCGCAATAACGTGCGTATCGACCTGCTGCTGTGCTGCGGAGACTTCCAGGCCGTGCGCAACGAGGCGGACCTACGCTGCATGGCCGTGTCGGCCAAGTACCGCCACATGCAGACCTTCTACCGGTGAGCGTCGGGCCTGGCCGCTCGCCCTGGAGCCCCGCGGCGCCCGCTTTGTGCGCCTCCGTTGCTGTGGGGAGCAGAGCGCTGCTAGATGCGGTACTGGGAACTTCCCGTCCCCGTCCGCCGGCGCGACAGCGGGGGACGGATGCGCCCTCTACCCAGACTCGCTGGGTAACTGGAGCTCGAACCGCCCTCCCCGCCGCGAACGGCCGCTGCCTGCTGACCCGGGCCTCCCCCCTCTCCTCAGGTTTCTACCCACTCCGTGTCCCTGCGGGATTCTGCAGAGATCGGGACAAGGCGGGATCCCCCTGAACTGAAACGCCGCCCTAAACTGAGCATTGTCGTTTTTATATACAAATAAATAACAGTAGCTTTGTTTTCAGTAAAAAGAAGGAGGAGTACTTGTGGCACCTTAGAGACTAACAGGGGTCGGCAACCTTTCAGAAGTGGGGTGCCGAGTCTTCATTTATTCACTCTAATTTAAGGTTTTGCATGCCAGTAATACATTTTAATGTTTTTAGAAGGTCTTTTTCTATAAGTCTCTTATATATAAACTATTGTTGTACGTAAAGTAAATAAGTTTTTAAAATGCTTAAGAAGCTTCATTTAAAATTAAATTAAAATGCAGAGCCCCCCGGACCGGTGGCCAGGACCCGGGCAGTGTGAGTGCCACTGAAAATCAGCTCGTGTGCCACAGGTTGCCTACTCCTGGACTAACACATTTATTTGGGAATAAGCTTTCATGGGCTAAAACCCACTTCATCGGATGCATGCAGTGGAAAATGCAGTAGGAAGATATATATGTACACAGAGAACATGAAAAAATGGGTGGTGCCATACCAATTCTAACGAGACTAATCAATTAAGGTGGGCTATTATCAGCAGTAGGAAAAAGAACTTTTGTAGTGACTGCGGTGCAGGGTTGATGCGTGGAGTGGAGGAGGCGGGCTCCTGGTCCGACTCCCTGTTCCGGAAATCCGTTTGATGTGGAGTTCTCACATCGAGAACATGTCGGATATTGAACTGATAAGAACAGATACTACACTATGATCAGGATGGCCCATTTCAAACAGTTGACAAGAAGTTGTGAGCAACAGTAGGGGAAAAATTAGCATGGGGAAATAGTTTTTACTGTTTGTAATGACTCATCCACTCACGGTCTTTATTCAAGCCTAATTTAATGGTGTCCAGTTTGCAAATTAATTCCAATTCTGCAGTTTTGAATAAATTAGATCTGTCTTTGAATGAAATAGGTTGTGTGGCTGATGTTTTCTGAAGGTTACACATTGTCTGCTGGTTTGGGACTGTAAAATAATGTCTATCTTTTCAAAAACTTAAAAATCCAACTTTTTTGCATGTAGACTTGTGTAGGACCAATCTCTTCTGCTGCTTAAGCATGTAAACATCTTGAAATATCACTTGTGTATTGTTAAGATGTTTTTTTTCTGTTTCTGAAATAGGTATTATTCGGGAGAGAAGAAGGCTCCTGTTCTCACAATTTTTATTGGGGGTAATCATGAAGCCTCAAATCACTTGCAGGAACTGCCATATGGAGGATGGGTGGCACCAAACATATATTACCTTGGTATGGAATGTCACTTAATTCTTTGATTTTACAGATTTAATGTATAAATATGGGCTTGAACTTCTAGGGGTTAAATATTGAGGTATCTTCTATAAACTCTTAGATTTCTAACTAGGTTGAGATGCATATTACTGTTTTGGATTTTGTTTTTGGAGTACTGGCTATACATTATTGGGAGAACCTCAGGAGAATTCAGTTTTGCTTCAGATGCTCAGTTGAAGATTAGCAGAATATAGTAAGATGTCTTTGGCTAGGTGATCTTGTGAGCCTGAGTCTTCGTTTTTAGTGACTTCAGTACTTCTGGGTTCTGTTTTTGGTTTCTTTCTGTATTCTCCAAGGGCCAGTGTTTAAATTATGCTGAGGATTTGCCAGTTTTTCTCTCTACCTTCCACCTCACCCTTTCTATCCAATCTTTGATTTCAAATTGGCTCTGAAATTTCCTGTTGGATGACCTGCAAATGGATGGATTGCATCAAAGAAGATGGTAAGCAGATGGACTTCAGTGCTGTCTTGTACAGATCAAGATGGCGATGCTTGTATGATGATCTGACAAGTTGATGGGATAAGGGATAGATGACCAGCCATCATATCAAACTCTCTCTGCAACTGAATTTAATCTTCTTTCTTAATCTCTTTACTCATGCTACATTCTCTCATCTCTGCTTATCTTTCCTATTTCCCAGGACCACAACCTGAGTATTATCTTTGACCTTTTTTCTTATTTATTGGTGGTTTTGCTCTAATATTGCCCAAACTAGCTTCTTTATTATCCCTACTACTCCTAACACCCTTCCCTGTGCCTTGGTCACTTTTTACAATTAATGTAACCCACCTTTGTCTGGTCCCCTCACTACTGTCCTTTTTCCGTTCCAGTCTATTTCCGTTCCAGTCAATTGGACATGCCACTGCTAATGACCTTTCTCTCCTGCTCCTATCACTAAATTGGCCTTACTGCTTTCTGAATTAAGTTTAAGTTCTTTGCTTTTTATCTACAAGACCTTATTCTGCATTAGAAAAGAGACGGCTAAGAGGGATGATACGATAAAGGTCTATAAAATCATGAATGGTGTCTTTTTCCATGTGGCTTGTGCTTTCTCTGTTTCAAACACAAGCTGCCCAGCACAAGGCTTGGAAGCCATTTCTGTCCATAAGTATGCCCCTGCATGCCTTGCTGAGTCATAAGGTGTATCCCTTGCCTTCTCTGAATGGGTCAGTTGTATGGCTGATGGTCCTTAATGGGCCATCAAGCAGGGTAGACAATGCTGATGCCAAACTTTCTGGGGGTGTCACACAGAAGCATAGCACAAGTTTTGTCATACATATCTATAACCCATAATACAAAGGTGATACAAACACATAAATGAGATTATCGTATTTGGCAAATTATAACATTTTGCAGATATCTTACATGGCATATCTGGCACAACTCATTGCAATTTTATAATATTAATATTCATAATATCTTCAAGTGTCCCCCAGATTCCATACAGAGTCACACCCCCCCCATGCAAAATTGATGCAGAAAGGGGTGTCCCTAGACACTGCTGAATGCATCATAAGAATTTTTGGTTATGTATCACTACAGCTTCTAACTGAATGTCAAGTATCACTGTATAACAGAAATACACCTCTACCCCAATATAACGCTGTCCTCGGGAGCCAAAAATTCTTACTGCGTTCTAGGTGAAACCGCGTTATATCAACCTTGCTGTGATCCGCAGTAGTGTGCAGGCAGCCCTCTCCCCCCGCCCCCCCCCCGGAGCACTGCTTTACCGTGTTATATCCAAATTCGTGTTATATCGGGTCGCGTTATATCGGGGTAGAGGTGTAGTTTATCAAAATTAGATTTGATTAGATCAGGCTTTTTTCTATAAAGCTTATTTCATTCTCTGAAAGACTTTCTCATCTGATGATACTCTAATATAGACCTTACTGTTTTCAAGAGTGTAATTACCTGGGCATTCAGCCATGACAGCAATGTGGTAGTGTACCTCAGTTTCCCTTTCTATACAGCAGACTAGATTTGTAAAGGTTTCTCTGCTGTGCCAAGTTTCACAATTGCTTACAGGTATCAGTTGTAACATTTCACTATCAAAAAGCTCTCTAGCATACTGTGTGTTTTTAGGTATTCTTCCCAACATGTTTACAGGCTTTTTATCAAAGTCATACACATTGTACCTTTTTAGCAGGGTTGACATAAAAATCAAATACATTAGAAGGCTTAAACCTTAACAGTAACACCAAATTTGTTACCAGTCATTGTTTATATGTATCTTGGTCATACCATGCCTCTTGTCTCACTAAGGGCTAGTCTACACTGGCAACGCTAAAGTGCTGCCACAGCAGCGCTTTAACGTGGCTTGTGTGGTCAAGGCAGAGTACTGGGAGAGAGCTCTCCCAGTGCTCTAATAAAACCACCTCCATGAGGGGCGTAGCTACCAGTGCTGGGAATGCGGCTCCCAGCACTGGTGCGCTGTTTACGCTGGTGCTTTACAGTGCTGAAACTTGCTGCACTCGGGGGTGTTTTTTCACATCCCTGAGCAAGAAAGTTGCAGTGTTGTAAATTGCCAGTGTAGACAAGCCCTAAATCTCTTGGCTGGCCAGGTGTGTACTCAGAGCTACCAGTTATGGGGCAAATCTTCCCCCTCCCTTGTCTGCCAGGTAGATTGTATCAACCCAGACACTAGCTTTCAAATTTTTATCTGCTACCAATTTCAAGGCTGGACACTCATTCTTCCCCTCACAGGATTGGGTCCCCCCCCCCCCTTCTCCTAGAAGGTTGAAAATTGAGCCTCCCTGCTTACAGGAATCCCTTTACTAGCTAGGTGTGTTCACCAACTGCAGCCCCTCTGTTCTATGAACATCTATACAGACACTCTCCTGCATGTTTGCTTGTGGATCATCCATCACCACCAGCTTAGAGACTGGACTCTGTCTTAAAGAGATACCAAACAAATCCAAAGTGTCTAAAGCAGGGATCGGCAACCTTTGGCACGCGGTGCGCCAGGGTAAGCACCCTGGCGGGCCGGGTCGGTTTGTTTACCTGCTGTGTCCGCAGGTTCGGCCGATCGCAGCTCCCACTGGCTGCGGTTCGCCGCTCCAGGCCAATGGGGGCTGCGGGAAGCAGTGCGGGACGAGGGATGTGCTGGCCGCCGCTTCCTGCCGCCCCCATTGGCCTGGAGCGGCGAATCACGGCCAGTGGGAGCTGCGATCGGCCGAACCTGTAGACGCAGCAGGTAAACAAACCGGCCCGGCCCGCCAGGGTGCTTACCCTGGCGAACCCTGTGCCAAAGGTTGCCGATCCCTGGTCTAAAGGGTGAGAAGTATCGAGGGATAGTCATGTTAGTATGTATCCACAAAAACAACAAGGAGTCCGGTGGCACCTTAAAGACTAACAGATTTATTTGGGCATAAGCTTTCGTGGGTAAAAAAACTCACTTCTTCAGATGCATGGAGTGAAAGTTACAGATGCAGGCATTATATAATGACACATGAAGAGAAGGGAGTACCTCACAAGTGGAGAACCAGGGTTGACAGGGCCAGTTCGATCAGGGTGAATGTAGTCCACTCCCAATAATAGATGAGGATGTGTCAATTCCAGGAGAGGGCAAAGCTGCTTTTGTAATGAGCCAGCCAGTCCCTATTCAAGCCCAAATTAATGGTGTTAAATTTGAAAATGAATTTTAGTTCTGCTGTTTCTCTTTGAAGTCTGTTTCTGAAGTTTTTTTGTTCAAGAATAGTTACTTTTAAATCTGTTATAGAATGTCCAGGAAGATTGAAGTGTTCACCTACTGGCTTTTCTATGTTA